CTCCATGATGGGGTCCCTCTTTGGGCTCGGAGCACGAGTAAAGGGAGCTAAATAGCTCCTCCGCTGCAAACCTGGTATTCTGTGACATTCCTTTGCTGAGAACCAGGTATTCTGGTATGTTCCTTTGCATTCAAGTCTTTTAGTGACAACCCGTATTCTGTGATACTCCGTGGTGTTCTGTGATATTCCTTTAGTGAAATCCCGGTCTCCTCTGATACTCTGGCCCTGGGGCTTGCCCGGAACCCAGGAAAAATCTAGCTTTTTCTAGCTTTATCTAGCTTTCGCTAGCCTTTTCTAGCTTTTTCTAGCTTTCGCTAGCCTTTTCTAGCTTGTTCTAGCTTTGTCTAGCTTTTGGTAGCCTTGCCTAGAAGAGCGGGTTCCGATCGTACGAAAATATTAGCAGTTCGGGGTCTGAGCCAAAGAACCTCCTGAAACAAATGCATTTAGGCGCTATGGCCGACGGATCGGCAGTGGATTGCCGGCACAAACAGAAGTCAAAGCCCGCCTCCGACTGCTAGGAACAAATAACACCCACCTGTAGTTTCCTGCTTTGTCTTCACTTGTTACAGGCCCTTCAAGGGCACACTGTACCACAGGAAATCCGTAGCTTCCCAGCCCAGGACATACTTCAATACAGGAAACCCGTAGCTTATCTTAGTTTCTCTTAGTTTCTCTTAGCTTCTCTTAGCTTCTCTTAGCTTGTCGTAGGTTTTGCTTAGTTTCTTGCAGATTCCTGCGAAAAGCTGTGGAAAGCTAGATATGTACGCTTAATCAAAGAGGCGCCCAATCATTGAGCCATCTTACTGGTTTTAATGATTTAAGGCTAGGGATTCCAAGAGCTGACCTGGACAAGTGTGTGAAGAACCCTATCAGGGCACCGGGTCCTTAAAGCAGATAGGGTTCAGGGTATCTAAGGCTGATTTTATCAGCGATCCTGCTATGTACAACTATACTCGGATCCCTAAATGCTCTCAAACTCGCATACGGGGCATACTTGCAGATGCCACGACCATGGTAGCTCCTTTGGTAGAAGCCCTACGTGATACTACATAGGCGCATCGGACCCTTTCCTGAAGGACCAGATGACCCTTAAAAGTAGGGGCCCTTTTCCCATATACTATGAATCCCTATATGGTATATGAACCTTAAACCCTTTTAGGGTTCATTTCGTCCTTAAGGTTGGGATGTCGGGCACCTGTGCATTCGCGGTTCCCACTTCCACGACCTGAACTCCACCCCTAAAAATGGGGCACCAAAGTAACGTAGAGATGCTATACTATACTGATACAGATCCCTCGTACCGTAACCGCTTGAAACCCTCCCCTTTGAAAGCGCAAACGCCAACATCCCTTAGGTAGGGCTTTATAGTAGCATAGACACCCTATAAGTCTGACAAACCCCAAACCCCTCACTTGGGATTTACGTTCAGGGTTTGTCAGGCTTTTATATAAGGGTGTTACGTTAAGGCCTGGGAAAGCTCTGACTTGAGGAATATACTACTATTTGGGGCTCGATATGCAACCTGTGAAACCCAACCGCCCTGGATAACCGAATGTACCAAACATGAAAAGGGATGCACCTAACATGTGCGAAAGCATTCCTTTATCAGTTCCTGCAAGAAGTCTAGCTCAAGCACTCCCTCTAAGTTAGGACCCTACTGTTTACAACCCATGTGTACGGCTTCGGGCGAGTAGAGTAGTGGAGTAGAGTGTTGGATTTGGGGTTTAGTCCCAATCTGCTGAAAGTCCCATTACGTCCAGCACCTACCCACCCGAAACCCTAAATAGAACCCCAAAACCCAAAACCCTCAATCCTAAGCAGGATCCGTACAGCAGGTTGCCGCTTCAAAAGGACAAGGCCCTCGTCCGCACGTTCTGCAGGGACTCCCGGCGGGGAGGAACGTGTTCCCCACCCCATGATGTAGGGTCGTTGCGGGAAACGCCATAAATCCTAGCTCACCATGAACCTATTGCACCATGCAACACCCCAAAACACTGGAATTGGTCTCAAGAAGGCAGGCTTCTTCATGCCCTAGTAAGGTCAAAGTTTCATACTCAGCTACTCAGGTTCAGTGTTTTGCGAAGGCTACCGCAAGCATGGTGCGGGTTCAGAGATGTCGGCTTTGTAACGGGCATCTATAATTACCCATCTCACTTCTCAGGGTCCTTAATACCACTATACTATACTGCTAAACACAATATACCACAAAACCCTGTTCTAAGCGTAAAGATCCCTGGGTATCTATATGCAGGAGCATATTGGACGCGGGTCTAGGTGGGCTTCATGAGCCTTCGGGGGGAAGTAATTCAAACCTGTTGCGTTTTAGCATTGTAACCTGTGACCCCTAACCTTAGAATGGAATTGAAATATCTGAGTTGAAATCAGCAACCCTGATCCAAACCTTCAAAACTTAAGGTACGGTGTGTCTGTGTGCTTTCGGACTTGGGGGAAGGAACTTTAAGGCTTTTGCAATGGTACAGAAGGACTTAGAGTATCCCCGTATGGTAGGGCTTAGAGTAGCCCTAGGAGGAACCCTTATAGCAAGTCTCATCACCCTTATGGTAACCCTTGTAGTGCCACTTATGGTAGCCCTGTTAGATCCTTCTACCTGTTTAGGCTAGAGTCCAGGAGGAAGCACCTGGCATCATGCGAGAAGTGTGCAAAGCCATAGGATCCAGGCAGCTTTTGGATTTCCATTGTAGAGTGTGTGTGTGTGGCCAACTCTATAACTGGAGATTGAACTTACTTGGAGGTTCATGGGCAGTTATAAGTAGGGTTATAAGTAGGGTAAGTATACTTAGAACCCATAGTAAGGGGACTTCTTGCCCCACTTATAACTACCCCTGAACCTCCAAGTAGGGATCCTTATGCTGAGAGTCTGCATTTAGGGCACATGGGCCTGAGGATCCTGATGATGAACTCCCTTTGATCTAGGGGCTCTTGCAATCACAAGAGGGTCTTGGGGTACATGATGATGCGATATACGTATAAACAGGAACCTTTGGGATAGTATTAACGCTTGTTCGATTGCGTTTGCTTTCAAGCCGATTTCAATGTATTGGAAGTCGGCTAAAGAAAGGTCAGTTGAACTTATGATATGGATCCGATTCTTTGGAATATAAATTAGGGTCCGAGATTTCTGAACCTCCGATGTACCTATAAGTCCACTGAGTACCTGGATCCTTTTTGCAAGGACATCCATGTCACTTCGGGACCAGAAAGGTCACTTTTGGGCAGCGTGCTTCAGGGTTTATAGCTGAAAACCAGAACAGAAGACCAGAAAATGTGGATCTTGTAGCGGCCGTACAATGATCAGATCAGAACACGGGGGATACGGAACCCCAAGGCAAGAATATTACTGAGGGATCAGGCTTCTTATGTGAAACTACCGGTCCCTCAGCGACCCATGATAGAGTCTTCATTATACGGCTTTGCGCTTGACGGTCAGAGGACTTAGGGCTTGAGGTTAAGGGATTTAGGGTTTCAGGGCTTAGGGTTTCAGGGTTTAGGGTTTAGGATTTCAGGGTTTCAGGGTTTGGGGTTTAGGATTTCAGGGTTGAGGCCGCACTTGAACTTCTGGGTCCGCGGCTACTTGAATTAAACTATAAGCTCACGGCTCTGTAAGAAGTTTGAACGGCTGGGCTCGAACGTGTCAGGGTGCTGCCGCTGAATGCAACCCACAAAGAGATCCTCAGTGAAGTCATAGGCATAGGACATGCAGTAGAGGAGGGGCTGCAAACACTTAGGCAACCTTATACGCCCGAGATACTCAGATCCTCTTCACTGACTCTTCACAAGGACCCTATAGAGGGTACTCTTACTTTCTGAAAACATACTAGTTCACCCGAATCATCTAAACTGTAGTTGATCCCTTTGTCTCGGAAGCAAACTGCTGCGGGAAGCAGTGAAGATTGCTCTTGGAGCAAACCGGATTGCTGCCGTCAGGACAGGCAGGGACCCTAAATCCCGGGATTACGGGTTGGGCTGTACGCCTTTGAACTTGAAGATACGTGCACGCATCCGTAAGCATGTGCATGCGGCATATTCAGGTATGGTTGCACGTATTTTTGTATGTATGTATGTGGGTAGGTATGTTTGTTCGCATCCGTCCATCCATCCATCCATCCATCCCTCCATCCATCCCTCCGCCCGTCCGTCCATCCATCCATCCATCCATCCATCCATCCATCACCTACCCATCCATCCAGGCGGGCAGGCAGGCACAGATGCATGCATGCATGCATACACACATACATACATACATACATACATACATACATATATACATACAAAATATTACATATGTAATTATACACACTCCAAGTAAATTTGCATACATCTAGATACGCGATGTGCACGCAATCGTAGCACATGTGTCACCAGAGACTCTAGAAACAGAAATCCCAGCGGCACAGGCCGGTAGTCGTCGTCGAAGCAGTAATACACTAGCTGCCATCGCTGTCGTAGAGGAGGTGGCAGTGGTAGCAGAGGCAGCGGTCGTGGTGTGGTGTTGCTGGTGGTTTGGAGCTGGTGGTACGGAGCTGGTGCTGGTGGTGTGATGTTGGTAGAGGTCGTAGTAGGAATACTTAGTAGTAGGAGTAGTAGGAGTAGGAGCAGTAGTAGACGCAGTAGTAGTAGTAGTAGTAGTAGTAGTAGTAGTAGTAGTAGTAGTAGTAGTAGTAGTAGTAGTAGTAGTAGTAGTAGTAGTGGTAGTAGTAGTAGTAGCAGCAGTAGTAATAGTAGTAGGTGGTAGTGGTGCTAGCAGCAGCAGGAGGAGTAGTAAGCAGCGCCGGTGGCAGTAATCGTGGAAACGTATAAATTTATTGCCAGGCTCCGGCAAATCGACAACTACAAGGAGGAAAAATAGGGGCCTTAATCTTTAGAACAGGATTTTGGGGCATATTATATTGTAAGTGAAACAAAGAGCCCCCAAAAATAGTATAGGTAATTTTTAGGCCCCTATAGTAAGCAGGCAGGGTCCACAGTCAATGCTGAATTTGCTAAATGGCCAGATTCACAAGCTCATCTCGAACTGTGCTGCTGTCGCCACCTTGAGGCACAAGGTTCAAGAGATTTTGAAACCCAAGCGCTAAACTTCCTAGACTTCCGAAGCCTCAAACCCCAACCCGAACTGGCAAACCCTGAAAACCCTACACAGCCTTTATCGTGAAAGTATATATAGATTCATGACGCCCTTAAATTAATCCCCTCGGCCCGTAGTCACCAAGCCATACGGTCTCCGTGTCTCGAGACCTGAACGGAAAGTCTAGGTCGGACCTCCAGGCGCAACACCCGACAAACCACCCTAAGGGTCATGTACTCATCTATAGTACATACATTGGCCTCAAAGTACTCCCTATATGAGTACATTGGGCCCAAAGTATATGCTATTTGGGTACATGGACCCTTAGGGGATACAAAAGCATCACAAGGTACGTAGAGGCTACAAGGGGTTTAGCGATACTACGGGCTTTTACTACTAATTAGCAGGGTATAGTGTTGTAGTACATGTATACAGGCTACTTCAGGGGATACGGCCATCTAAATACGGATCTGTTAATCTGAGAGTGCTGGAAAGTTTTTGTTTTTATTGTGGAGTGTTAGATGGCTTTAATTACAAGGATTCGATGAGGTTTTTATGGCGGTTTCCTTAAAGCCTCATAACACCAAAACCCCAAAGCCTGGACCCTAAAACCTTAAGCCTGATCCCACCGACAACCATAAATTTTCATTTTGCGCCACGACAAGAAGCAGATGAAATCTAAGAGCCCGCGGAAGAAACTAGCAGAAGCCCGCCTCTTGTCCATTCTCGACCACTCCGGACAGCCCAAAGCAGGCATTATGTGCATGTCTTAAACCCCACAGGACGCATCTAAACCCGTACAACCCTAACCCCCATACCCTTAGACCTAACTAAACCCCAGAACAAAAAAAGATCCTAAACCCTAAACCTTAAACAAAAAAACATCCTAAAGCCCTGAACCAGCTACCCATGATGACGAGAGGCCCCAAAGGGGATGGCCCCATGTCACGGCCGTGCCGTCCTTGGCTCTTATGTAAGCTCGCTTACTGTAGAGGCCTTCATAATTAGAATGGGGTTTTGGGGGTTCCTTATGATAGCTGTAACATAATACACCCCAAAGCCTATTCGGGTCATTAAGGCCCCTACATCGGGCATTCTTGGTGAATTCTGTTGGGACCAAGTTTGCTTCAGAAGCTTGAGGTTTCGAGGTGTTGAAATTGGAACTTAAGGCTTAAAGGGGTCTCTATATAATTATAAGTACTTTAAGGCCTAAGTATATACTATATGGGTACCTGGAGCCGTAGGCAGGGGTTTCACACAGCTTAGGGTTTAAGGTCATGCGCGTGTCGCGGGGCTTGTCTAGCTTGCGAGGTTTCGTGTGGCTTTCCTGTGAAGTTTCCGTGATTCATGGTGATATTCACATGTGATTTGGGGGGAGGGTCAGGTTTTCCCGCTATGAGGCATTGGATTCGTTGGGGGTTTGCTCGGGGTAAGAGGTGCAGGGTTTAGGGTTCCAGCGGGATTGTTTGGGCTAAGAATTCAGGGGCTTGGAGGCTCATGAGGGAGATCTTCGGATTTGGGACTCAGGTTTAGGCCACATTAAGGCGAATCAGAGTTCAGCATTTGGAGGTTCATGACAATGAGGCTCAGTATGGGGTGCATCCAAAGCTCAACGCTGATGTCCGTGACCCAAATCCTGTGGTAATTCACCCGAGCCTCGATTGATCAATGAGGCTCGAGCCCCAAACCTCTGTCAAAACAAACCCTGAAACCTTTACCCTCTGAAGCACCGAGCCCAGCAAGAAAGTCCCCAATTAGCCAAACCAAAACGGCACGAAACCCCAGAGCCCTGGATCTGGAAACGACCCTCAAGTAGATGCCAAGCGAGCCGAGCCGCGGCCTTCACGGCCACAAAAGCACCACAGCTCGCTCGGATATCCTCAGTGGCATGAACTGAAGAGCTAGACATATCCTGCTGCTCTTTCATATCTTCCTTGTCCCAATCCACAAAAAGCTAGTGCAAGCACATTCAGATTCCTAGAATTTCCAGCGTAGAAATGAAGCCGGGGATCGAAAACACCGAACAGCCGGTCCTGGACGGAACTGCTGTCACCTTGGGGCTGGCTTTCGCACTATGTTACACGTTGTATCAAACGAGAACCCAGACCGAATGTCTGCACCAGATAATAGGGCTCCGGCTCCAACATAGAAGGGCTGCAATAGATCAAACAATGAGAATAGAAATGGTGTTCGATACATAAGACACGGTATAGCACCGGCATTCGGGCACCTCGACCTTTTGGGTTGCGCAGAAATGCGGGATATATATATATATATATATATATATATATATATGTCTTAAAAGCATCATAAGGTAGGCTATGACTCCACTTCCCCCTAGACCCTCACCCTGAGCCCTTATAAACCCCAAAGCCTTGAACCCTAAACCCCCGCAGGTTGGGGACTGCTTCTTCGCAGGGCCATGAAGCCGAGGGGCCTTGTAAGGAGAACTCTGGGTGTTCTTGGGGTAGTCCGGGGGCCTGAGTACCCAGAGACTCCATTTTCCCTGAACTAGGGGATATACCTTGAATTATAGTAGGATCCTTAATTTGATTTAAGGTATATTCCTTAATGAGTATATCCCTGAACTAGGGGATATACCTTAAATTACAGTAGGATCCTTAACATGATTTAAGGTATATTCCTAAATTAAGGGATACTGGAGTCTCTGGGTAGTTTGAAACCCGGGATCTACTTTATCATAATACGACCATGGTCAGGAACCGCAAGGAGTACAGGTAATATCTGCATATCTTTCAGGCTATATGATGCTTTTCTGTCAAACTGATCAATATGGGAGTTTCCGACACTAGGGGACCCTAACATAGTACCCTAAATAGTAGGATCCTTATTATAGGGGCCCCAAAATAAGGTACCCCGAATTTTCGGAAACTCCCATATCGAGCCTATGAAGGCGGGGGTCTTCAGACAAGAGGTTCATCCAAGGGTAAAAGGAGGGACATTAGGGGACCCTCCTTTTCCCCTTCGAGGTCAGGTTCGAGCCGACACACCAACTTAAGGGCCCCCCAAAAGCACATAAGCAAAAATTAGGATAGGGATATCCCATATAAACCCCCTTTATAAGGAAGCCCATTATGGTAGGGATATCCCTATAACATGCTTATGCTTATGTGTTTTTTTTGTCCCCTGAAACTTCTAAATCCCGCCAGCGCCCGGCCCTCGACCCCCTTCAGAACCCAAAATCCTAAGAGCACCCAACCCAGGCCGATCAGCTAAAACCGACCATACATGAATCTGAAGCTCGTCCCCAGAATCACAAAATCAGAATGAAAGTCTGTAAATAACCGTAAACCGCTAGCCCTAAACCAGTTCGTTTCAACCGGTGTAACCTGAAATCCAAATCTTCTGAACCCTAAACCCTAAACCCGAAGCCCTAAAGCCCAAAACCCTAAGTCCTATAATAATGTTCCAACTTTCTGGCTTCTACTGACGAGCTTCCGCCTTCAGCGTCATGACCCCAAGTCCTCAGAGGGTCCATGCTTCCCTAAGGTTTACGGTGTTTAGGGTTTAGGGTTCAGCATCTCCGGATCGAGCAGTTTTACGGTAGTCGTATTTACAGCTTAGACAGAATCCCTAAACCCTAAACCCTGAGTACCCACGCACCCAAGAATCCCATAGCATTGAGAAAATACCAGGTCCTTTGTTCTACCTACAACTTAGCTTCACACACTACTTTTCAGGTATTTTAAGGTTAGGAATATGTTTTTTATGGTTCGGACTACTATGTTAAGGTTCGGAGTATTTTATGGTTCGGACTACTATTTTGAGGGTTCGGACTATTATTTTAGGGCTCGGACAATTTTTTGGGGTTCGAACTATGATTTTTATGTTCGGGCTATTTGTTTAGGGTTCGGAGTACTATTTTAGAGTTCGGACTAGGGTTCCGACTTCTATTTTAGGGTTCGAGCCAATACTTTCGGGTTCGGACGATAATTTCGGGTTCGGAACACTATTTTAGGGTTCGGACCATTATTTTAGGGTTCGGACCATTATTTTGGGTTCGGACCATCACTTTAGAGTTCGGACTACTATTTTAGGGTTCGGACTACTATTTTAGGGTTCGAACCACTACTTTCGGGTTCGGACCGTTATTTGCGGGTTCGGACTACTATTTTAGGGCTCGGCTATCATTTGAGGGTTCGGACTATTATTTTATATAGGGTTCGGGCCGAATTCGTCGGATTAGGAAAGTCCTTGGCCAACGAAGTTTTGGCCTTGGGCGACGAACGCTTTTGGCCTTGGTCGACGAAACCCTTCGTCGGCCAAGGCCAAAACTTCGTCGGCCAAGGCCATTTCGTCAGGGTTTAAAATATTTCGGTCATACCACCTCATACACCTTTCGTACAACCCTCACAGAACCCTTGCAAAGACCCTGACAGAAGCCTTCCAAACCAACGATTTAGTGTTTAGGTTTCAGGGTTGTCGTTATTGTCAAGACATAGGGAGGGTTTGCTATGCAAACGACCGAGATTGGAAGTACGTGACTATTGGTAGGGTTCGGGGTATCTCTTATTGAATCCATCTGGGAACCAAACCCTAAAACGAAACCCCACCGTAAACCCTAAACCGGAACACCAATGTCCTAAACCGTAAGCCAACTTACACCCGCAACTTCAATCTCAAACACGCCCGCTCAAACTCTTAAACACATGGGTGGTTGTCAAAATCATATAGTCCCTTTTGGGGTCCCTATTATAATACGGCACCTAATATTTAGGGTACCCAATTAGGGGCCTTACTGTTGATAACTACCCACATGAACCTTAACTCAAACCCGGAACCTCCAGCCCGCAACAATCAGCCTGAAACCACAAACCTCAAACTTCCTAAAAGCCGGGCTTCATCTTCCGGGCATTTGGGCTACAGTAAGAGTAGGGGAGCACGTGGGGATATCATTACATACTAGTTCCCCGGACCTTTTACATTGCTATGTGTTGAGGGTTTAGGGTCAAGGGCCTTAGGGCTTTGGGTTTAGGTATTACCATATCCTAACACCTAAACCCTAAACCCTATCCTAAAGCCTACCTTAAAATTGAATAACCTACCTTCTTAGGGTTCCTGATTCTGATTTCCTTATATAAGTCCTTAAAAAGGTAGGTCCTTCAGGGTTGATGTAAACCCCACAATTTTACCTCCTTCAGCCAGGCTTCACCACCAAACCATCCTCGCGAAGGGCTGCAAACGCCCGCGAGGTGGCTGTAATCCTCAGCTGGACTTTGAATCCCGGGAGAGAACAGCAATATAGGGGCCTTTATTTTTGCCTATTCTATTTTGGGGGGTCCTTTGTTACATTTTAGTATGGGTAGGCCAGGAGGAACAGTATAGACACTTGTGTCATAATGCTCTTTTGAGGAACAGGTCCAGCAAGAACGTGGGTTCAGAGTCCCCTAATATAGGTTATAATCATAGTCATCCTACTACTCATAAGTACCCCTGAACCTCCAAGTAGAGAGGGTCCAACCATGCCCCTGCAGCCTTGTTGGAATGTTGAATCGTCTTGTACTTCCCTAAACCCTAAACCCTCAACCCCAGACCCTGCACCCCTAAACCCCTGATCTCTAAACCCCAAACCTCTAAACCCCTCAACCCCTAAACCCCTCAACGAATCAACCCCAAACTCTACGGTATAGTGCGACCCCAACGGCTGTCGGACGCCAGTGAGCTGTGCCTGGACTGCCTCACTGTCCTTGGCTGTCCAAAACTGCAGCTTGAAGCCCCACACCCTGGCGAAATAGACATTAAACTCACTAATCTCAAAGGGGAAAAGGAGGGACCCTTAATGGGGACCCCTACCTGGGGGTCCTTGTTAAGGGTCCCTCCTTTTACCCTTGCATAATCCCTACCCTAAGGGTCCATGTACCCATAGTATGGCATATACTTTGGGCCCAATCTACCCATATAGTCAATACTTTAAGGCCAATGTATATATACTTTATGAGTACGTGGACCCTTAGGGCTAAACGCTCTAAACCCCAAGCTCTACCCCCCTACATGTGCCCGAAGCTTCAAACCCTAATCTGGGGCCCCAAAAAAGCACATAAGCAAAAATTAGGATAGGGATATCCCATATAAACTCCTTAAAAGGAAGCCCAACAAGGTAGGGATATCCCGGTAAAATGCTTATTATAGCTCCAATAAAACCATCTTCGGGCCTGTAAAGTTTAAAGCGGCTTTGTAGATGTAGCTCTAGGATTGCAAAGCAAGACCTACACACTGGAGGGGTTGATAGGATTCGGGGTTTGCAGGGTTTAGGGCTTCGGGCTAAGGGACGGTAGGGTTGTAAGAAGCTTTTCACAGGGCTTGGAATACTGTTAGGAGGTGCCCGCATCCTAAACTGCTGTAGCTTTTGCAGAGAATTGAAAGATTTTCGGTGGTTCTCCGAACAGACATAGCATGCCCATCCAAGTATCCGTGACAGTACAACTCTTACCATAGTGAGGCCCGCGACGACGGGACTGATCAAGTCCCTACCCCAAGGGTCCAAGTACCCAATCTCCAAAAGCCTAACCTACATAACTACGATCCTAAAACCGAGTACCTAACTGTTGGGTCCTTTAGACCCTTACTTGGAGGTTCAAGGGTAGTTATAAGTGGGGTTATATGTCCCCTAATATGGGTTATAAATATAGTTAGCCTATTAGCCTACTTATAACCCTACTTATAAGTACCTGCTCGGCCGGTGTCACCAGGCCCTGTCGGAGCTGTGTATGGTAAGACTCGCCCGAAGGCGAAGAGCAAATCGTCCGAGGTCCAGTGCTGTAGTGGCTGGGGATCCAGCCGTACGTCGGCGGTGCTTCCATAGGCGGCGGAGGCAGAGGAAGAACCACAGCCCCCGGAGGCTTGGCCCCACTGCCACATCCGACATCGGTTTGGCCTTGGGAGGCGTCGAGGGGCGCTGCGGATATTTCGGAGGCGTGCTCGGTGCCATTCGATGAGACCCTTACTTGAAGGTTCAGGGGTAGTTATAAGTGGGGTTATATGTCCCTAATATGGGTTATAAGTATAGTTACCCTACTTATAACCCTGCTTATAAGTACCCCTGAACCTCCAAGAAAGCCCTACGCCTTGAAATTTCCACACTCCGAGACCGAAGATCCCGAGGCCCGATACTCCAAGGCCTGAAGCTTTGAACCACACAGCTCCGGAACTCTAGACCAACCCCGGAACCTGAAGCCATAGGGTTTAGGGTTTAGGGTTTAGGGTTCTGAAACCCTAAACCCCTAAACCCCTAAACCCTGCAGCTTCAGGCCTTGTGGTTATTGCAGCCTCGAGCTCTTGAGTGTCAAGTTAAACGACAGAAGTCCTCAACGGTGAACCCCAAAGCCCTGCAGCCATGTTCCAAAAGTTCAAACCCTACGTCCTTACCCTTTGAGAGTGGCAAAACAGGGGGTACCTTACTTTGGGGTCCTTATAATAAGGCTCCTACTATTTAGGGTACTATATTAGGGTCCCCCATTTTCGGAAGCTCCCATGTTTCTCCAGCTTTCTGCTTTCTCTTGGAACTACATGGAATCGTGCTGTCGCAACATGGTTAAAGGTTGCTTGCTCGACTGATGTGGAAACCAGGTGATTCCGAGCCATATGCTACAAATACTACATAGTCGGGAATTACGATGAATCTTTTTACCACTACATCTGTATAGGGAATCCTATCCAACGGTTAACGCAGCGATAATATACTAATTAACCTCTGTGCAGCCCTCCTTTGCAGGCCATTTCAAAGCCCTAGAGAAAGAAAGGTTGGGATTCAGCAAAGCTGGAAGGCACATGACACCCTTGCCCCAAACCCTGAACCCTACAAACCCCTAAACCCGTAAATGCCTAAACCCTAAACCCCTCATCCTTTGCCCCAAACCCCACGATGCATTCTGACAACGGCGCTGCCGAGCATCGCCCCCATAGTCAGGATAGCCTTGGGCTCCGCCCGCTTAAGGTTTGGGGCTTTGGGGGTTTCGGGATCAAGGGGTCAAGCACGTTCAGCGCGTGGGGTTCAGGTTTCAGAGGGTCCATATATACTAACTACCATTTTAATTAGGTCCCAAAACACCATCCCCTTTACGGCCTAACTCCATGCTAGTAGTGTATATGGACCCGCTGGTGAGGATTTAATAAGCTTGAGGTCTGAAGGACAAGCTTTACGGTTAGCATCCTTTCCTTAAAAAAACAACCATGCCCAAGAATGGAACCACGTCGCAAACTCTGCATAGACGAGCGGGAGCATGGTTCCATTGAGATCACCCCCCTAAGAGTGTGTCGATCTTATCGTAACAAATCACTTTAATCCGAGCACCCTAGTTATACTTAAACCCCGCGCAATTCCTAATAATTACATCCTTTCATGTCCAAAATATGAGGGCCTTAGTTTTGTGGAAAGGACGATCAGACGGTACCATTAAACCCATAAGCCCCAAAAACACCCTGTAGAGCCCTGAAAGGGTTCCTGTTAGGATCCTTGCTGCATCTGCGCAACCCCACGTCACCACACGTCCGTCTTCACGGATTGCGGCGAAGGCGGCGAGATTGCCTCGCAGAAACCCCAAGCATTTTACTATACCCCCTTTAGAACCATAATAAAAATAGTATGCTTAATATTCTTTTGGGTTGTATATGAACAAACATACAAAAATAATTCCTAAGGAGACAATAGTTTAGGGTCTATCGGTCGTCGGTTTCGAAACGGTTTAGGGCTCAGGGTTTGGGCTTCTAGACAGTATAGGGTTCATTTGTGTTATCGGCTAGAACCCTGTCACGGGTGATGCTTTGTAATCAATATCTACAGGCATGTTAAGATCAATTTGAATGATACGACTTTCAGACGACACAATACACAAGTTACAAGAGGAGAAAAGAACCCCAAAGGCACGCACAAGCAAAACAGGCGAGCCTTGAATGTCCCGCACTTTCTGCAGTTGGTCCTGCGCGTGTTTAGGCTTGGGGTCTGTGTCGCGTTTTCGGGGAGGTACTGAAGAGGTACTGAACTCGGACGTGACACAAAGCTGATTGGATCGTCCTGGTCCTTGAAACAGTTTGTCGGCACGCCGACTGTAGCTGTCAGGGTGATGTACAGGGAACTCCAGAAAGTTGGAATATGGTTTCAGGATAGGATACCCTATAATTTACCATAAAGGGAGTATGATAATGATATTCCAACTTTCTGGATTCTACTGTAATGCAAGCCAACCGTGATCCGTGAAATCAAACTATGGTTTCTTACGGCTGGCATGTCAAGGCCTTGTATGATGTACAGAGCCATAACACGATAGCACGTGATGCCTAGGCTCGGAAGCATCATCCCTGAACCCGAAACCGAAGGCCCTTATAGCCGATGCCTCTCCACCGCAAATCTCCACAGAAAGAGCCGGATGAAGTGAGGTCTTCAGGACTTGGGGCTCAGGGTAGCCGTCCAACATAGTAGAAGCCGCCCCGAGTTCTAGATTTCACCTAAAGCGGGTGTGAGCGTCAAGCGCGGTCCTGGACGTAGCTGCTGTCCCCGCCATCTGTAGGGTAACCTTCCGTAGTTGCAGGTCCCGCCACCAAACCACGACTCTGAACACTTGCATTCTTGCGCCTCCAAAGACAATGCTCGCGACTACGGCCACGATGGCAGCTGACCTCTATGTTGTATGATTATCGGTCCTTGCCCTTGCACCACCCAAAACGGGTGAAGATACCCCTGAAGAAGGTAGTAGCCTTAAACACACCATAACACCAATGCAGAACACCAGCAGAAGGCCTAATCAGTCCCGATATGTCCCGATCGAGCCCGTTTCAGCACGCCTAAATCAGTAGGCCCTTATAAGAACCCCTAAATAAGATGGTCCTCGCAAAACTTCCTGAATAAGAGAGTCCCTATAAGAAGACTGATCCAAACAGCCCTGGAACCCTAATCCAGTTTCACGAGTCCCTGATCAAGAGAACCCTTCTAGAAAGCCACAAAACAGCTTAGGGCTAACCGAATCCCGGATCAAGAGAACCGTGAGAGAAACCCCTCAAAAGGAATCCACCCAAAGAACTTATTGGGCCAAGGCGAGGCGCCCCAGGTGACAACGCTGCCGTCCGTGCGCAGAGCGGCAAATGCCCTCACGGTGCAGAAGATCCTCGGTGACAAAAGCGCGGGGGATGTATGCTTTAGGGTTTAGGGTTTAGTAATCTAAGAGTTTAGGGTAAAACGGTATAGCTAGCAGCTTACTTAGGAGTTTGGGGTTCAAGGGTTCAAGGTTTATAGGGGATGTGGTGTTATCTTTCGAGTCTGCAGGCCTCAGGACGCGATTTGTGGCTCCGATAGTCTGCTTAGAGTCAGGGGTTCTTGGGTAGGGGTACCGTAGTTTTGGGGTCCTTATACTAAGGATCCTACTATTTCGGGTACTATATTAGGGTCCCCAATTTGTTTCATATCAATCAACTCGGACGTAGAAGTGATCGACGACGAGTTAGACCCAAGTGCTGCGCAAGCCGTCACTTGTTCTGCACCATTACCCATGCGATACCATGTCGCACCCTGCATGTATGCACCACACTGACAACATGCCCTGCCCTTCTGCAGCACAGCACAGCATCCTGCCTATCTCCTAAACCCTGCAGATATACATTTGGGTAGTTGTCAAAATGATGTCCCCTTTTTGGGTACCCTAAGTATTATGTGCCGAATTATAATAAGGACCCACAAAGGGACCCTAATTTTGACAACCACCCATTTACGTATAAGCTATCTGCAGAATGACCTCCAGTCCAAGACTTAAACTCAGACAGGTTGCTTCTCCACCTGGACGAGCTGATCCTGCAAGCGCAGAGACCGCTGAGAAAGCTCAAACGCATCGCAACACTGTAAACTCGTTGCAACTGACATACAGAACAGGAAAGGAAGGGTTCAGAGAATAGCAGCTTCTGCTTTGGCTGTGGACTCACTCAATTGAATGCCTGTCAGAAGGTCTGAATTCAAGAAGACTACGAGTCCTCTAGCCGTAACCGCCAACATGGTTGATATAAGCCGATTCAACTGGCGGAGGTCGATCCTGCATCGGGCAGCTGTTGCCACCATGATCTGTTCCGCCCCAGGTTACCACTGTGCCATCCTGCGTAAGCTGCTTCGGATCGCGGGCATTCAAGTTTGATGATTTCGGGTTCTAGATGGTTGTAGGATTTAGCATTCTAGGGGTCAGAGATATATAGGCATCGTAGGATTTACGGTTTAGGTGGCAGCTTAAGCTCCCACGATGAACCCAAGCAGGATTGCATTTGATTTCGAATCGTTGCGTGGCCGTTCCAGAGATCTGCGCGGCCGTTGCAGGGTTTTGCAATGGCCTTGTCTCGGTTCTACATAGTGCCGCTCGCAGGGCTGCCTTTCCAAGGTTTGCCCACATGTTCTCAGCTAAAGACACCAACAACCACAGCGAATCTGCTCTAGGCACATACTCAAAGGAATGCTCCAACCCTTTCGAAACATACTTTACAAGATATGCGTAAAAGAACAATGTCTTCGCTCGCATCCCAAAACCTGCAAGCCGTCAATCTCCTCCCAAAGCCCGCTCCTGCTTGATGGCCGCGAAGGCGGCATGCGAGGCGTGGATCCTATGCTGTAACACGCCGGCAGCTATATAGCGATACTCAGAATGTTGATTCTAGCAACTAGCAATAATAAGAATGTGACTATGGAGAAAAGCAGTATTGCGATTAACTGCAAAACTACAAGGAACAATAATCATGACAAGAATACCAAAACAAGCTTCAAAACATAATACCACTGAACATCCATGGATCTTGGCAACGCCCCTGAGCTGCGCCTGGCATGGGCTCCCTACATAGGGCTTGCATAGCGATTGCTGGTTTAGGGGTTCTGACCTGGGTCAACCATCCTACAGGCAAAGGGGAGGGGAAGAGTGGGAATTGGACTGAGCCTGGAAGCTTCATTCAGGGTTTAGGGTTTAGGGTTTAGGGATACCCACACCATAGCCATAGTAGATCCAAAAACCTTCTTCTAATTTCGAAGGCGCCTATACGAAACTCTCATAAGCACTCTAAGCACTATACAGCATTCCATAGGACGGCGAAGGGAAAGTCGGGGACGGGTCGGTGGATGGCAATTTTCAGGAGTTAAGGAACTGTTGCGACACGATCCTGTGTTTGGGGCCCAGAGATAATCATTTCATCTTGAACAGTTGACCTTCTTAACAAATCCGACGCTTACACGTTATAGATGCCTGAGTAACACGCCCCACAAAATCCTTGCACCCGCCTGAGAATCTCCCATGTCACCGCCATAGTCGGGAGAGCCCCAGGTGATCTCGGCGAATCAGCCGGCTTTGATTTTCAGATGTTTCCCTGAGGGTCCATGTACCCAAATAGTATATACTTTGGGACCAATGTACCCATATAGGGAGTACTTTAAGGCCAATGTATATACTATTTAGGTACATGGACCCTTAGGGTTTGCTTACAGGATTCGCAAGGTCTCCCTAGGATCTATGCGAGTTTATGGACAGGGTGTTCTCGCGCTCCTTCAAGGTTTAGCGCTTAGAGCTTCCGGGTTTCGGGGCTTGTGGGCTTGATACAGCACTCAAATAGTGAAACCAATACAACTCAAGTACCCATAACTACTCTACTAGAAGGATTCGGTACCGACAGCCCTATGATTCGGGCACTGCGAATCTTAACTCCCAAGAAAAATCTACTGAAGTAATGGGTCATGGGATTGATAAACTGAAACCCTTAACTGTAATAATCAAGGCCTTAACCTACATGCAAACCTTAAGTCCGAAACGCCAAAACCATACATCGCGAACCCTCAACCCTTACACCCCAAAGCCCCGAATCCCGCGCCAAATTTTGGCAGCCTTAGGTTTAGTGTTCATAGAGCCTGGGAATTTGGTTTGAGGTTTGATGTCTAGGGTTTGGGGGTTTAAGCTTGATTCTGTTGAAGCTTTTGGGTTTGAAGTGAGGGGCCTGGCAATATGTCTCCTGTTCTTCCGTGGCTGTCTCTACTTGAAGCTATTCCGTAATGATTGGGTCAGGGGTTCCCTCATAGAAACCCAGTGCTGGATACCGGAGTTCCCACTAGAGCGCATTTTCCTCTCCATCTCCTCAGGTCATGGTGCTCCCATAAAAACCTTACAAAATTACCCCCAAGAAAACCTACAACTATAAACCCTAAAGGATAAACTCTAAACCGTCCGATCAGATGTCTTAAGCCCTCGTCCGCTTCCACGCCCAGGAGCCACTCGGCCATCGCCTCGCAAGGCGGCGAAGGCACCGAAGGAACTGCGGAGTTCCTCGGAGCTTCGGTGCTTTACAGGGCGAATGCGGGGTCCCATCCTTGAAAACCCTAAAAGTGCTGGTTGTTTTGTATTGCTTAAGGGTTTAGGGTGTAGGGGCATAGGTTTTAAGACCTAGCCCCAGTAGAAACCGCGAGCCCAAAGCTCGTATTGTGCCGTTCCTCCACTGCAGCTAAGCCCTGCGACACACATACGGCACCCCTGTAGATCCTGCAAAAAGCCGTTAAGGAGCCCCGATGGAACCTTGGGTCCCAAAGGACCCGTAAAGTCTGAAGGAAAACAATCAGGGTTGGGGGGGGGGTATGTTGTAGGATTTACGGTTATAGGGGTACATTTAAGGGGGTAGGTTGGGCACTGCCCCCATAGAGTAGCAATCCATAATAGGGCCAGCAGCAAAAGCCCTATACTTCATATATAATGTTCAACCGTTACTGAGTGGGGGCAGAATCCAAGGTTTAGGGTTGAGGCTATAGTATTATAGGATATTGACATAGGGACGATACACGGATAGTGTCACGAATTGTTCGACCCCGATTCTCGGCGAGATGCTTGCACATCATAGAGGAGGTGGCCCACGGAATTTGTACTGCCGCCTGCGAGGTCACGCTTCGGCATTTCGCATGTGGAAGTCTCAGGGAAAAGCGCAATCTCCATGTAGTGTTTGAAGTTTGAAGTTTAAAGGCCCGTATAAGGAATGGTCCGGCAAGATCAAGTCCGTTCAAGAGACCACTTCACATGTTGGCACTCAACCCACTCCTATGAACAAACAACTTTGGGCACTCAAGCACTCAGCATCCCCAAAATCCTAAAAACCCTTTCAATCAACCGTAACACCCATGTGAAGGTTCTTTAAAGGGGGCTTAAGGTTCGAGATTGAAGGTCTCAAGAACTCAGGTTTGGGGCGAGCGCAAGAGGGAATGCGGAGTCAGGCTGTGCGAGCCCCTGCTAATGGGCCATCCTCAAGCAAGTCGACTTGCCGGTCAGGGAGAGATCATCATGTTCATGCAAAGGCAACGGGTGATATGCGCCGTCACGAATCGAAACGGTCTCGGATGCTTTGTGCTCGTTCGGATGTATAAACTCCACACAGCTGAAGCGAAATTCTTCCTCACAGCCAGATCGAGTGACCACCATGAGCCACGTGGGAAGCGCTTCTGATATAACCTTTCTTTTGTCGGTTCAAAGTTGTCTGACCTGGACAGAGCGAGGCCACAAAAGGTCGACACATTTTGAGACATAGCACAGCGTTCCGAAGATTGTCAGCTCCTGCATAATTAAAACAAGACTCCGGCGTTGTTCACATAATTTATACTATGGATACACAAGGAAACCCCGGAAGGCATGGTTCTTTGATTTTTCAGGCGCGTCAGGATTTATGGGTGCTGGGGTCTGATAGGGTTCCCCAGCCCAATGCACTTAGTCTACGGTCCTTGAACCTCTGAGTTCCCGGACGCTTTACATAATCCCAAGCTTTAAGCCCCAGTCCCGTACGTGTAGCTGAAAATCCACAACCCTTGCCTTTAAATGCCCTTAATAAGCTCGAATCCTCAACCTGCAGGCCCCACAGGCCGCAAACCCTCGGAAATCTAAGAAACCCAACTACAAAATCCCAGGTCTTTCATCTGAAAACCCTGTCCAAGCCACATGAATGAAAACCTACGAACACGCAACACAAATCTTCAATCCAAAATGAACCCGGCCACCTAGATTCCCGACAGAGGGCCTAACAGGGCAACTACTGATACGTGGACCAGGGCTTGGGGTATACTGATGCGGCACTGATGCGCCAATTATGTCCGGACTACGGAGGTATGTTGCGACACATATAAACCCGAAACGCTGAACCCTAAACGACATGAGCATCATGCCAATGGGGCCCTCTAGAGACCGTGAAACCCCCGATGGGGCTTTGGGGTGTAGTGCCCTGCAACTACAAAAGGGAGCCCTAAGCAAAACTACTGTTGCTGATACAAATCCTGCACTACCCGTTAAATAAGAAATATAATATAAATTATTCCCATCGTCTAGGGTCATTAAGGCAATGCGGGATGTATATCATGAACCGTGGTACTAAGTATCGACCCGGATAGAGAGAGAGAGAGAGAGAGAGAGAGAGAGGACCCCTTGTGAATAGACGCCTGCAGCCCCCATTGGTGGAATCCTTATGTCTATGTGGTCTTTCGGGATGGGCCCGTACCAAATAGCAATTGACCCAGAAAGTTCTAAAGCCCATACCCTAACTCTCCAAACGACCTTCCCAAAAGCCTTGTAAGGACCTAAAATGAAAATCACAATATGAAAGCCCCAACATGCAGGGTTGCATTTAAGTTTAGCCAGAGTCCTGAAATGAAAGAAACCCTTTAAGTATGAGAGGAAATCATAATCGGAAGCCGTAAGCAAGTACGCGCAACCCTGAACCCTAAACGTGAACGTGTCAGACCACGATGTGCCTGAGTTCGGCCAGCCCCAAGCAACGACGGTCCCATCACTCCGCAGCGCAGCAAAAGCTCGGGAAGTACCTGATTGATTAGGATCACAAGCTCTAGTTTTCTAGTGCGCACATCGGTAGTCCGCATATAAGGGCATCGTATTCAGGTTCCAAAATCGCCTTGCTTCGAGTTTGAGGCTTGAGGATTTTCGGTGTTAGGGTTCAGAGTATATAGGCTTTAGCATTTAAGGTTACTCGGACCTTCAATGAACACGGCTTCATCGGCGGTTCAATGGCCTTTCGGCCTATGAGGCTTGGGATCCTGGGAATCCTTGGCTTCGGAAGCCCTGTTTCGGGGTGTTCCCAGACCCCCGGGAGGATCCACAAAGCAGATCCCCTAACTTGGGGCCCTATACTACTAAGGGTGCCTTATAGGAACCCCCATCTTTAAGGGAACTTCCCTGTTTCGGGTTGTTGACAGTTCTGGGCTTTGGAGTTGCTCTAATTCGAAATGGGCCTGAGCTCAAGAATTCAATCCGACTACCTCGAAGCCTTCAGCGCCTCAAGCTTCTACATCTTTCGGCTCAAAGGTAAACGCGCGACTCTTATTAAACCCCTCTCTTCCCTAAACAAGGATTCTAACTCGCATGCCTGTGACATGCACTTCACATGTTGGGGTGGGCCCTGATAAAAACTAGACTAGAGCCTGGGGTATACCTTCCCGGGATAGAACGAATACTACGCCTTCTTTGTCGACCTCTGTGTTTCGAAAACTTGTCTTGGTTTTAGAATTTGCCGCGGGGGGGGGGGGGGGGGGGAGGTAATAAGGTCATCAACCCTAAACCCGATTTAACTGATTGAAGGCTTGAGAGTTTGGAAAACTCAGGAGGTAGGAGTTCCGTGGTTTGGGGGTCATGTCAAGCTAAAGCCCTGAACCCTAAAGACTCCAAACCCCAAGCCCGAAGCCCAAACTCTGAACTCGAGACCGTAAACTCATGTATAAACTTTGGGTACAGCCCCCACTCAGCAATAGTTGAATACTACTCATAACATAGACATATATGAGGACCTTAATAGTAGCCCTATTATAGACTCTCACTGTAAGGGGCAATACCTAAAACACACTCCACCTCTCCCCAACCCTCTCCGAAGCTCAACAACTAAAGCCTGGGCTCCTAAACCCTACACCCTAGAAGGGGCCCCCACCCTGTAATAGTAACTATAAGGAATATATAGGGACCCAATTATGTTCCTAGTATACCACTATTAACCTACACCCTATAACAAAAATGCTAAGCCCCTGAACCCATCAGCTAATATAGGGGCCTTATAATAACTAGAATAGGGTTTTGGGGCCCATTATACTATAACTATAATAAGACAAACCTCGGAAAACAGTACAATAGGCAACTATGAGTTCCCGTACTATGGAACCCTACCATAGATCCCCTATAGATCCCTTTAAAGAACCCCTTCAAAGGAACCCTATGATTAGCATGATTATCACTCTTATTCTTATTGCTATGATCATATTATTATCATTCTTAGCATTGTATTATTACTATTACTATTATTATTTAGGGCCCCTATATTAACCTTCGGGGTTCAGGCTTGGTCTTGAAGCTCAAGGCGTGGAGTTTAGGGGCGGGTTCAAAATTTGCGGTTTAGGGATTCTTTTGTTCAGGGTTTAGAGCCTTGATTGAGATTTTAGAGACGATTTTGGTCTCGTGTTTAGAGTTTGGGGCTTGGACTTACGGCATCGCGGATGTTAGGGGACAATCTTCTAAGGCTACAGCTTTTAGGGCTTAGGATTTAAAGTTGGGGTTTAGGGTTGGGGCTGAGGGGATTCTGGGGGACAATCTTCCAAGCCCTGCACATAGGCTACAGCTTCTAGGGTTTAGGGCGTCGGAGTTCGAATTTAATGTGTTTCCTCCCATGAAACCGCCATGAAAAGGCCCAGAGCACTTTGAATTCCCTGGATGTCGATGAGCTTCTCTCTGACGGCCGTGCTGTCTCCACCAGACACGGGGTCACCTGCTACTATGGAACCCTACTATAGATCCCCTATATAGATCCCTTTAAAGGACCCCTTCAACGGAACCCTATTATTGTTATTATTATGATTATGACTACTATTAGTATTATTGCTATTTATGGCCTCTATTGCGGCTGTCGGCTCTGGGTGCCTTCGGTTATGCGGCTTGGCCTAATATAGGGGCCTTAATGATTACCTATACTATCTTGGGGGTTCCTTATTTCAGTGACAGTATAATCGAATCCCCAAAACCTTATTCTACTATAGAGTTTACGCGTCAGCCCGAAAATCCATGCAGCCCAGCATCATGAATCCGCCATGAAAGAAATCAACCCACTAGATAAACAACCCGGGTGCACTGAGCCACTAAAGCCTCTACACCCCTCAACCACCAAAAGACTCCAAACGCCGATCACCGAAGACCCTTTGTTGCTGTCGGTTGTGTATATGAAAAGCTCGCCTACTTGGGGTTCCACCAACCTCGTGCAGTGGCGTCACGGCGTATGCGCTTAATGCTTCGTCTTTGCGTTGCACATGCAACTATGCAGCTACACGCAAGTTATAAGCAAGCAAGTAAGCAAGCAAATAAACAAGCTCGTGTGTAGAAAAGATCTGGACAAATATAGATACACAGGTTGATAACTAGAAAGAGAGATGACAACCAGCTAGACAGAGCATGGGATAAACAGGTAGGTAGAGATAGAGAGGGACAGAGGTCAAGATGGAGGTAGATCGGTGAATAGTTGGATACAAGGATAGGTGGACACAAAAACAGATAGATAGATAGGGATAGGTCGATGGATGCACAGGCAGATTGGATAGAAGGAGAATAAACAAACGAGACACCTAGCATGGAAAACACACGCTTGTCTATGTTTGGATACACATATGTAAATATGTACGCATATGTATACGTGCATAGAATATACATGTGTGTATATATATACACATACATACATGTGTGCCTATGTATTTGTTGCATGTACGTACGTATGTATGTATGCATGAATGTGCACATGCATGTTTGTACATATGTATGTACATATGTATGCATGCTTGTATGTATGTATGTTGGTAGGCATGCATGCATGCATGCATGCATGTATGTGCGTATATATGTACAAGATATAACAACAAAGAGAAGGGTTTGACAATTCAGGCATATGATGGTGGTGTACCTCCGGGTTCCCCTGACATTCCAAGTCAAGCTGCCCCATGTCACCACAGATCCATCGACTTTGATCCCAGCGAAGGCGCGCAGGGTGGCCTGCAACCCGGAATCCTGATCCCATAAACCAAACACCCTGAACCCTAAACCTTGAACCCCTAAACCTATACTGAACTTAGAACCCTCGCAAAAATCACAATTTTAGCTTTTTCTTAGGGATTATAATAATCAAAAATTCAAAACTATTTCAAAGTACCCCTAAAAAAACACCAAACCGCATTCGTGGATTTTGGTGTGGGCATCGGGTCTCTGGGGGAGTCGGTGGAGGCTCCCGAGAAGGTTTCTGGGTTTTAGGTTGGAGCTGACGGTGAACATGGATGGTGACTGGAAGGTTTTCTGAGGTGTTGTATATATATATATAAGATAGGTATATATATATATATATATATATACAGTCCAGAAATGTATATATATACATATATATATATATATATATATGTATAATCGTTCCTTAAACCTTCACAAAGTCCCCTGAATCGAGGAATAGACTAAAGCACGACGAACAGAAACAATGTGTCATGGCATCTAGGACACGTTGCGTAGGTGAAGGCCGAAGACAGATGTATGGCTGGTGCTTTTTTCAATGTCACATGGGCACCTCAACACTAAACTCCTAAACCCTTATAACCCCTATGACTAAGCCCTATCAACCCTGAACCCTGAAACTTTAAACCCCCAAACCCTAAACCCTAAATCCCATAACCCATATAGCCCTGATAAGCCCTAAACACTGAACCCTTTTAGAATCCTTACACATTATAGGTGCCTCTACAAGAACCCCTTTAGGAACCTAAACCCTCAACAGTAGTCAACCCCTAAAAGGTGGAGACTACCCCGACTCTCCAAGCCTCGATCTTTTGAACGTTCAGAAGCTCCGAGCGCACCTGGCATGAAGCGGTTGAGGGTTTAGGGGTTTCGGATTTACAGGGTTTGGGGGTTTAGGGGTTCAGGGTTTAGGGGTTTATTTACAGGGGTTCAGGCTTGGGGCAGAAGCCTATTCAGAGAAGTTGGTGGAGCACCATCACCGGAAGCCGAAGTAGAAGCAGACGAGTTTCTAGATGTGGACGAAGATCAAAATTACACGCGCGGGGAGTTAGAGGGGGTCTTAGGAAGAGCACCAAAGGCGCAAGAAGAAAATCAGGGGGCTATTGCACAGGCGCACCAACAACAGCTAGAACAAGAACAAGAACAAGATGAAGGTATCTTAAGAAGGTTCGGAAGAGGAACACGAAGCCTCGGGAGAAATATAGTAGACACTGTTGCTTCGAATGTTGGAACTGTAGGTTGGAATATCGCGGGTAATGTAGCATCTGATAAAGATTTGGCAACATCCGAAGTATCAGGGGTGGCGCAGCCCGCTTTGGAAGGGTTAGCGAGTTCAGCGATGAGAAGAGTGTTGCTTTCCATTTTGTTAAGCCTACTGTCTGGGGGTGAGGTGATAAAGAATAGGGTCTTAGGGAATTCTTGGATCATTTGGAGGGTATTGGGTTGGATATTGGGTGGATGTTTCGGGGGGTCTTGGGATGGTTCGGGCTTGGTGGGGAAGGTTGGTTTTCAAGTACTGGGAATCTGGATGTTTAGGGGTGTGTTCCGGTCAGGGGGGTGGCTAGTCGGTACTATTACCAAAATGGAAAAGGCCTATGCTAACTCTATCATGTACGGGAACTGACCGAATCGGGGCCGGCGGAACCTTGCTACTGTCGCCACCGTGGCGCACACTGCCCCAGGTCACCTCTTGCTCTGGCAATCTGTTACTCTTGGTGCTGGCTTTGAAAACCACCCTGCCGACGTACACCGGGGCATAAACAACTAGACTGGGATGTTTGGGGTATGTCATGGTGCAAGTGCAACAAGCTCGAGATTATGCAAGTACACCACAGGCCCCTCCATTTGGGTAGGCTTGATGGTTAAGGCTATAAGGTGGGTTTCCAGGCCTCATGGAAGCCTCAGAACCCCAAACCCCATCCCCCACATCCCAAATCCTGATCCCAGCCGACCAAAGCTTCAATTGAACAATCAATGTGCAAGGATAAACGCGTAAACCCGCAATCCGAAAACCAAAAACTTCACCACTTCTCTCTATCTTCATGTATCCCTCTATCTCTCTCTGGCTATCTCTCTCGCTATCTCTATCTATCTATCGATCTATCTCTCTCTCTCTCTCTCTCTCTCTCTCTCTCTCTCTCTCTCTCCAACCAGGTAACCAAACGCACAGATGACTCCAAGGAACTGTTGCTAGATACCAAAAGATTTCCCAGCAACCCGGTGAAAGTTCCAAAAAGAGTACGCTGCTGTCTGGTTACTATGCAGAGTCCCGACATGAGGTACTGCAGTGTGGCCGCGTGGAAGATTGGCGTTCATCCGATCCGGTGATGTAAGGTACCCAGAGGCCCCAAAGTAGTTCCTTTTTGGGGTTCGTATATAGAATCCTATAAGGTAATCCCAAAAAGCAACTACTTTGGGCCTCTGGGCAGGGTCCTAGCCTGACCCTCGAACCCAAACGCTAACACAGGGGGGCCTGGATCATTTGAACAGGTTTAATGAGCATGATATAGTTATAGTGGTGCTACGAAGAAGGGACAGGACCTACGGAAGCTTCAGCCCCAAACCCTAAACCCAATGACCCTAAACCCCAAACCCTACCCCCTAAACCGTAAACCCTACTAGACTCCGAACCCCCGCCCCTCAAAGTAAACAATGACTACGACGTCTGCGGTCGGATCACAACTCGCCCACCGCGGGTGATCGCAGCAAAAGCCGCAAGAGTCGCCTAAAGACATCGCAGACAACTGGGACGGTTTCGTTGGGGTTTAGGGTAAGACAGTGTAAGAGGTTTAGGCTTACAGCCTACCTTAACCCCAAATAACCTATATACCTTTTAGGGGACTTATATAAAGAAATAATATTAGGGGGCCATAGAAAGGTATGTTATTTGGGGTTAAGGTAGACTCTGAACCCTCACAGGATTTTGGGTGAAGGGACCCCTTCCTGAGCCTCACAAAAGCCCAGCTGCAGATAGGAAGGCATACTATACATGCCGCTGCGCGCAGAAAGCAAGGAAATCCAAAGACAAGGACGCCAGACCCTAAACCATAGGCCCCATACTAGTTCCTTTTTGGGATTATGTTATAGGGTTCTACATATGAACCCAAAAAAGGAACTACTGTGGGTCCTATGGGTAAACCCTGAACCTCTAAGCCGCGGCACTAGCGCTTGATGATATAAATCCTGCATGCCCATAGTAAGGAATATACCATAATACCCACAGTCTAGAGTCCTTAAGGTAATGCATCATTTATATCATCAACCGAAGCACGATAACTGAAGGAAAGCCCGGCTGGACTGGCTCCCAACCGCAACAGTCCAGGGGCCTCCATAACCCAAAGGGTCCAAAGCACCTTTATAGTGGAATGTAAGGTTTCTATATTAGGAATTACTATTATGATTAGGGGAAGTATCCCCCACAACAGTACAGGGGTAACCCATAACCCTATAGGACTCATAGCAGTTCCTTTTGGGGATTACCTTATAGGACCCTAAATATGAACCCCAAGAAGGAACTACTATGGGGCATTAGGGTAGTCATATCATATTAAGCCACGTGAAGGAACAATAATTGTGATGATTCCGACCCCTATAGCACACCATCAGCACAGGGAGAAGGACATGTGAGCTATCGACCAAACTGGTGAGGAGGCAAACACAAACCAGATATCAACCTTGCGAGTCCGTATATACGCACATGGTACAGGGCAATAGCAAACTTATGCCTATGTCAAGGCGACCTAAGGAATGGTATCGGTATTTATTCAGGCCCCATATTACCAATTACGGACAAGTCCAACAGGACATTCAGAACAAGACATAGTAAATTTGCGCGGGAGCCCTGACACACTCTCTCCTCGACCAGTCAGCTCAGTGTCCCTAAACCCTAAGCCCGAAACCCCTAAACCCAAAACCCTAAAACTCGAAACACGCACATGCCGATCAACTCGAAGCCAAACTCCAACAGAGCCTCACAACAGAGCCTCAGAGCTTGAGATAAGAGTCTTATTCTAAGAGTCCCAGTAATATAGGGGCGCTGAAAGTTAGAATAGGGCTTCGGCATGTATTATACTATATATACTCATAATACGGAACCCCCAAAATAGTATTGGCATTTATTTAGGCCCCTATAGTACCCAGAGGCCCCAAAGTAGTTCCTTTTTGGGGTTCGTATATAGAATCCTATAAGGTCATCCCAAAAAGGAACTACCTTGGGGCCTCTGGGTAGAGACTACGGGCTCAAAAGGCTACGGCTTTAAGGCCAAAGCACATACTGCAGAGGTACGTGGTCCCACAAGGCTAGTCCAAAAGATCCCAGGTACCTGCATGAGTAAAGCTTACGCAGACCGCGATCATGCTCCGTAAGGTATGAACCCTAAACCCTAAACTCTAAAGCCAAAAATGCACTAGATATATACTTCGAACCTGTTTCTGCTTTGTGTGTGATAAAATAATACATGACGATACTCCAAACCCCGCACAAGAGCCCTGTACCCAAAGTCTCTAATCACACCCCTCCAAACCCTGCATGGAACGCGACCGAGTAAAAACCGCTTTGGCCTCAAAACCGGTCCTGCTTGCAAACCCTAAACCCTAAACCCCTCAACCCTCAACCCCACACCACTAAACCCCAGACCCCCAAAGCCCTAAATCCAAGCCCTAAATCCCTTCTCCCAGTCGCGTGGATGCGTTGTACTCCCACCAACTCGGCAGCAACCTCGTCTCTTCTCGTGGAATCTCCTTTAAGTTAACATGCAGCAGAAGCCCAAAAGTTAGTTCCATTTTTCTGGGCTCATATTTAGAATCCTATAAGGTAACCCCAAAACGGAACTACTTTGGAGCCTCTGGGTAGGGGAGATTGCAGTAGAAGCCGAATAGCCTCGATCCTTAAGAGTAACATATCGGGAAGCCCAGCACTATTTGGCCTTAATCCGGTTTCCAACTTTTTGGGGTTTTACTGTAACTCATAAGGACACCTCAAGATCTCTGTACCCTAAACCCTAAACACCCCTAAACCCTAATCTTGGGCTAAGATCCCTAAATTCCTAAACCCTAACCTGGGGTTAAGTTCCCTAAGAAGAAAATCCAAGAAACTTGGGATAAGATTCTCTAAGCCCTAGAACCCTAAACCTAAACTTTGGATGAAGTTCCCTAAGATCGGAGGCCTCACAAGGTGGGATGAAGGTAGGTGGGATTAAGGATCCCTTATATAAGGACTCTTATTTGGGAATATCCCACCTACCTTCATCCTACCTTTTGAGGCCCCCGATAAGAAGAGCCCAGCAACGGTGCTGCAGTCGCCGCCTTCCTGGGGATGGCCCCAGGTGACGACCTGAGTGGCTTTCGGCATTTCAGGCCTCTGTGAGGGCGGTTTAGGGTTTAGGGTTTATAGCTTTTGGGGTTTCGGGTTTATAGCTTTTGGGGTTTGTTAGGGTTTATAGCTTTTGGGTTTTGGGGTTTAAGGCTTTTAGGGTTTCGGGTTTGTTAGGGTTTAGAGCTTTTAGGGTTTGGGGTTTGTTAGGGTTTGTAGCTTTTAGGGTTTAGGGCTTGTAGGGTTCAAGGTTTAGGGTTTATAGGGTTTAGGGTCTAGAGTCTAGAGGTTTGGGATCAGGACTTATAGGGTTTATAGGGTGGGTTTAGGGTTTAGGGCTTAGGGCTCTTTTTTCTCATGCAGGGCTTTGAAAGGGTTTCGTTGATAGTAAATTATAGGCAGTTATAGGTATAGGAAGCACAAGCAGCCTGACCCGAAGCCTAAACCCCAAAGCCCCAAACCCCCCAAAGCCAAAACCCAGTGCACTGGCATGCGAAATCTTGACTTCGACCCCTCAGCCTCGACAAGCTGTTCCCTAAGGGTCTATGTACTCATATAGTATATACATTGGCCTTAAAGTACTCCCTATATGGGTACATTGGGCCCAAAATATATGCTATATGGGTACATGGACCCTTAGGGGCTTGAACCTTCCAAAATCCAAACACCTATCCGACAAGCTCATTGGGCCCAGCCTGGTATATGATTTCACAAGTTAATAGCATTTTACAGCATGTTATAGTGCACTCACCGCCTATCCGAGTATGTTAGCATGTTGTGGTGGAATTTCGCAAATTACAGTGGGATTTAAAGTATATACACACACACATATATATATATATATATATATACAGATAAACTCATAACGACATGTTCCTTCCGCAAGTGTACTTGTATAATTCAACACATACTGCTCAATTGAGGGGGAGGTGGGCTCGGGCTGCCTGGGGTACAAGCGGCCCAATTGCCTATTTCATGGTCCGGATAACAAGTAGTTTAGGGTTTAGGGTTTAGGGTTTAGTATTGAAGATTTGCACTTTATTCCTTATTGGCTTTGAGTACCCGTAAACATGGAAAAATGCAATCCAACTATGACAAAGTTGCAGTGCCATCCGCGCGAATCCCGGCGAAGGCGGTGCCGTGGCTGTGGCATTGGATGCAGTGGCCTGGTTCGCTGACCTGGAGTTTAAGGGTTTTTTGTAGGGGTAGAGTTTATGTTTTGTAGTAGGGTCGTAGGGTATAAGGTTACCAGCAAGGAAAGTACACGGGCTGTATGGGAGCTGAATAGACTTCACAGGGTTGTGAATGGGCTTTGAAGGGATTCTTTTGCTGCTTACCCATGTTCTATTAATTATCCGCAAAGGTGTTGCTATGAATAGGTGAAAAGACCACACACAGAGATCCCAGTGGCTATAGCATTGACAAGATCTCCATCCGCCAGGTCCACATCTCCAAGCTTGGCGTTGCCCTTCCTCGGAAACGAACGGAGGCTTTGAGGTTTAGGGTGTACGGATACTTCAAGGTTGATGTAAGGGATACTATTCGGCTAGGGATCTCGGAGTAGCGGCTTAAGTTGAAGTCGGATTTGGGGTTTAAGGTTTAGGCCTTTAAGCTTGGGGCTAAGGGTGTAGGGTTTGGAGTTGTACCTGAGCACAAAAAATCTATTGACAGTTTCAACATGCTTTAGGGCTATATACACATGTAGAAATCACCAGCTCAGGGTGTACGATTTAGACTAGACGTCCACCTTAACCAACCTTTTACATGGCTCCCACGAGTTTTACTTCTACACCAGGATTCACAATAAGATCTTTAAGGAAGATCAATGCTATGCGTACTGGCAGCTTACTGTAGGGTTCTTCAGGTGGGCCTGTGCTTCATTCTCGGACAGAGCTCCGAAGAGGGCCCTAAAAAAAAAAACGTGTCCTTGAGCCCTGCACCTCTAAACGAGAACACGCATTCCGATTGTCGGGTATCATGGGGAACTAAAGCTTAACCTTTTTAGCTATATAGGGATCATATAGGGACTATACTACCCAACAAAAAGTTAAAGGTTCCCTACTCTAATACTAGGCCTAGACACTATCCGCAAACCCTACACCCAACCTACCATGCTGAATATCCTCTCTCCTACATCCCTCAGCCTCAAAAGCCGAACCACCGAAACTCTATCCGATAAAAGCAGTGCCGAAAGCCGGGGTTCCGGCTCGGGTTTCGGGTGTGCGATTCAGGGTTTATCTTTGAGGTGTAGGGTCGAGGTTTGCTTATACCTTGACCTACCAAACCCTACTATTTTTTGTAGGTTCTTACTATGAACTTTAATGTGGATTTTATAGGGACCCTACCAAAAAGAAGGTTCTCGTAGGTTAAGGTAGAGCCTTAGTAATGAGATAATGGTTTGGCAGTATATATGGTACCTTCAGGAAAGGATTCCTGATTATTCTGGTTCTGACCCTTTTACTACTACACGCGACACTGTAATATGGGGTTCTTGGTAAGTAGAATAAGGTTTTGGGGCTTTTATTCTACTGTAATTAGAACAAGAAACCCCCAAAATAGTACAGGTAACTACTAAAGCCCCTGTATTCATGACAGGGAGCAGGCAAAGCCCAGTCGAGGAAACAAGGCTCTCGATGCGGATGCTCAGCTGAAGCCTGGGTGTTGACATGTCACGGGTTTAGGGTTTAGGGCACAGGTCTATGGATGGAGTAGAGTTTAATGCGTCATAGTGTAGGGCCTGAATTTCAGGCCGCAAAAACCTCAGTTTTAGTTCTGCTTACTGTGGCTTCTGCAAACCACCCCTTGACAGTTCAGGCCTGTTGGGCTACAGATAGGGTGTTGTAGGGCTGTGACGATGCAGGATTTCACACTATACCCTAGAGACAGCCTGCCTACGACAAGGCTCTCTCAGCTTCTAGAGCACCTGGGATAGCATCACTATGATGATGATGATGATGATGATGATGATGAGTAATATCACCATAGCAGCTGCTTTATGATTGTCACTACACTTAGTATTTGTATGACTACAAACAACTTGCTTTTATACGAGGCCTGCCTCTGAACATGCAACTGTCGTCAAGTTGCTCTCGCAGTCCTATAGAAAATATGCATTCTAGATTCTGGAACTTTCGTAAGGTCTCAAGCTAGGCAACCTAAACCCTAAACCCTAGACCCTGCTAGAAGTAGACTCAATGCACTAAATGCAAGTTAGCCCAGGTTCCCGGTTTACGGTTTGGGGCCCCTGCACCATGGAAACCCCTGCACGCACCAGTTGGGTTTTATATGAACAATTCCTAAGGAGACTATAGGTGAGTGTGATTGGCACATGGGCTGCGTCTACAATTACTTCTATGTCTTTCGTGCTCGAAGGCGTGGCTGTCCTAGCCATGGTGATGCAAAAAACTAATATAGGGGCCTTCATAATTAGAGTAGGGTAGTTTGGGGGCCCACTATACTATAATCATACTTAGGAAGCCCGAATATAATTTAAGTAATTACTAAGGCCTCTATATTGCAATGCTCGTGACACCGATCACGATGCTGATGTCACTCATGACGATCGCTGCGTCATTGATTCTCAAAATCATTAACATCATCATCGCCATCATCACTACCATCACGCACATCCGTGATTGTTTGAGGTGAAACAACCCTACCTACACCGCAAAGTCTGAACACTAAACCCTGAACTACGAACCTTACACCCTAAACCCTGAACCCAAAACCCAACACTGCCCTACACCGTAAGCCGATCCAAGCTTCTGTGCCAGCCTCCGGAGTTCGTTCACCGAGCTTTCTCGCGAAACGGCGCCTGCGAAGGGAACCCATCTGCTTTACAGGGGTGCATATGTATGTCCAGTTTTCGGGTTTAGTCATAGAGACCCTTAGGCGGGTAGGGGGCCTTCATACCCATAATAAGGACTTAACAAGGCCTATTTAAGGACCAGGAAGTATAATCCCCTACCCCCCTCCCCCCTATAAGGATTCCTATGATTCAGCGTTAGAGTCTTGGGCAGCTTTGGGAAGTGTGGCTGGGCGCCTTAGGCTTGGGAAGCCCCGGTCCTACTGGTCCTACTTGGAGGTTCATGAGTACTTATAAGTAGGGTCATACGTAGGGTAACTATACTTATAACCCATATAGGGGACTCATATCCCCACTTCTAACTACCCATGAACCTCCAAGTGCTGACCTACTGTATTTGCAACCGCAGCTGCGAGCTCGCTGGCCCAGAAGGCCTATGTTAACGAAAACTTACATTGTGATAATCAGAAAGGGTCGCCTGACTCAGACTCCAGCAAGTAACAGCTACATGTATAGTTGTGCGGCTGCTTTAAAGAGTGGGAATTTGGCTTTGGTGGCAATGTGGGATTTGGGCCGAAGACCTCGAGTAACTGCAACCGAGCTGCAGCACGCGCACTGTCCGCTGAGGAGCGACACGGTGACATGCATTGCTTCAGATTGGGAGTTGCAGCCTCTCAACCCTAAAACCCTACACCCTAAATCCTGTAGGATCCCTTTAAAGGATCCCTAAACCCTAAACTTAATAGGATCCCTTTAAAGGAATCCCTAAACCCTAAGGCCCCAAAGGCCCTGATACCTCAAACGTTGCGGGCTACCGCGCCCAAAATTTCAAAAGGTAGGCACTGGTACGTCGGCGCAGTGTCGGCATCCAATCTGGAGAACACCACCCCCGCTGCTACAAGCGTAGGTGAAGGGTGCGTGTGTAATTATGTGTATGCGTGTGTGTATATATATATATGTATATATGTATACACATGTATGTATACATATATACATATATATGTATGTATATATGTATGTACCTATCTATATATACATACAGAGGTGGATATAAAGATATTTGTATGCATCTGCATGTGCATCTCTGACAAGTCGAGATGGGATTAACAGAGGTCTTAACTCCCAAGCCGAGGCTTTGATTGTGATTCTTGAGCCACGCGGCGGTAAAGTAAAAGCCAGAAAGTTGGAATACGATTATCTTAAGCCCTTTGAGTAAATTATAAGGTATCCTACCCTGAAACCATATTCCAACTTTCTGGAATTCCCGTTATATCCAAACACAGTCCCATCTCTTGCTGCCAGCGAAACCCCTAGACTGTTCTCAACAGGGATAGGGTTCCGGGCAAATCAAGCTAGAACTAAAAGGATTCCTAAGGAATCCCATTTCTTGGTTGTTCAAACCTCAAGCTGTTTTTTCCACACTATGCACCAGATCCCACACCAGAAACCACGACGTCCCAGCTTTTGCGGACAGGTGCGGCGTTGCATCTATTACGTACGAGACGGGAGTGGGGTTATGTAACGGCTGCTTTCACCCAAGGGTCTCTGGCCAGTCGTTTCCACTCTGTTCAACTCAAGCTCTGAAAGTGAGCCCCATTCAGGGTTTAGGGTTTAGGGTTTTTAGGATTTAAAATTTTGTGAAAGCAATAAACGACTCCAAAAATTCGACCTCCTACAAGACGAAAGACCAAGGGAAATTGGCAAGATGCATCAAAGCATACAACAGCCCGAGTCCCGATCTCCTCCCATTGGCTGTTCTCCTCTCTGGGGCACGAACCGCATCCTGCGTCAGTATCCTAGTGACCGTGCGCGCCGCCGGGCGATCAAACCTGAAGCCGTAGGGTCTGGCAGGACCGGTTACGAAGGGTGGATATTTATGATATGATACAGGATGGTTGGCAGATCTGGGTAGGATGTACGTAGAACAGCCACACTCACCCAGAGGCGGCATGTTGTGCTTATGTCTAGGCATGCTTCCTGCTCTAGTGCTTGCTTTGCGTAGAAACATGTGTGGCATCGGTGGTCATTTTGCTGCCAGTGCCTCTGTAGTCTTTACAGTAGCAATAGTAGCAGTGGTAGTACTGTTGATGATATAAAATCCTGCATGACCCATAATAAGAAATATACCATAATTCCCATAGTTTAGGGTCCTTAAGGTAATGCAAGATTCCTACCATCAACCGTAGTACTAGGAAGCGCGACTCCAGAGACGCACGCAGACTAAAACGAGTAGAGGCCCAGGCATCGAAACAGCCGTACCAAATCTGCAGGCCAAAACCGCCCAACCCCAGATAACAATAACATTGCAAAGCTGTAAGGCTAACATTAACGAAAGCCAACAAACACACTTACAAACAAGCGGCAAAACACAACACAACAAAAGGACAAGCTCTAAACCAACAACTTAGACCGGGTCACCCTAGCCCCTATAACCCAAAACCTAAACCCTGAATGCTTTGAGGAGCCCTTACAGTACCCTTAAAGGAACCCATATAGAACTCTTACAGAAATCCTGATTTTCCAGGGGACCCGAAATCTAAATCCATAATCGTATGCCCCATTATCCCCTGACCCGCAAACTCCCAAACTTCTGTATGACCCTGTACTTGGAAGGTCGGGGGACTTAGTAAGTAGGTAGTAAGTAGACTTATAAGTACCCTAAGAGGGACCCTAATTGGGGTTCTGGTACTTACAGTGAAAATACTGTATAAGAACCCACTGTTTAAGAACCTGAGCCCCTACCCAAGGCGGAATTCACCAGATTCAAGTTGCCTCAATATTAAGAATCTTAGGGTACCCTAGTGTTTTGGGTCAGGTTCTTAATTTTTTGGGTGCTTTCCCTCACCAAGGAAATTTAGAATCGAAAACTAAATTTCCCAGCCCTCCACATCAAGAAACCCTCTGCCCGAACAAAATGGTATGATGGCTGGGCAACAGCAGGCATGCCACAGCGCAGTGGTTGTGCATAGGTTCCGGAGACAAGAGCTCTTGTTTCAATCCCCACTGGGTCATGCACTGAAAATTTAAAATTGAAATCTAAATTTTCCATTATCCTGCCTGCCTGGGTTTGGGAGTGCCACCAAACCGTGGAAATTTAGAATTGAAACATGAATTTTCCACACCAGAATCCTCCTGGCCCTGTTCCCAAACCCAAGGCTCCGACCCACACCGATGGCATCAGGAAATTTAGAATCCAAAAGTAAATTTCCAGCCCTTCCTCCCGACCTTCGTGCACAAACAAAGGACACTGACCCGCGCCAGGATAGCACCCCCTAGCGCAGTGGTTCCGCGTAGGCCCCTATGCTGAAAGCCTTCGTTTCAATCCCCGGCGGTGTCATGCGGCTGCGGTCTGCTGGCCCGCAGCTCGTATTCCACCGAAACAGAGCCCCTTGCCACCAAACCGTGGAAATTTAGAATTGAAAAATAAATTTCCACACCAACCTCCTCCTGGCCCTGTGGTCCTTGGCCCCAGCCACACCCCCGGCACCAGGAAATTTAGAATCCAAAAGTACATTTTCTGGAGGGCCCCTGGCCATGCCCTCCGCCCCGAGTCCTTTCGACGAGCTGTGGAAATTTAGAATTGAAAACTAAATTTTCCAGACCCGCATGGCCCCCCCCCCCCCACAAGGAAATTTAGAATCCAAAAGTAAATTTCCTGAGAGCCCTCGGTCAAGGTACCGGATAAGAACGTGGTTAAGAACCTGAGCCTACCCTAGCCACTCGAACGGCAAAATCACATGTAATGGAAATTAAGAACCTTAGGGTACCCTACTATCGCCGAACGGGGTTCTTATACAGGGCTTTCACTGTATATGTCCCTAAAATAACAAGTTACTAAGTCCCCTGACCCTCCAAGTACCTGTCTCCGTGAGTCCCAAGACTTCCCTTACAATGCGCAGCCCTAAACCCTAAACCCTAAACCCTAAGTGACTGAGGAACTGTTAAAGCAATGCTAAAGGGACCCTGGGTCTTAAACCCTGAGCCCGAAGCCAAAACAGAAAACTTCTAGAACCCCTGTGATTTCCCTTAGAGCATCCCTTAAAGGACCCCTGAAAGGAATCCCTTAAAGGGATCCCTGAAAAGGGATCCGATTCTGAAGCTCCCGGCTCGGTCACAGAGAAGGCCACTTCGCTGCCCGCGGCCCAGTCGACGGGCCTCGCAAGGGAGCCAGCAAGCCCTTGCTATCTACTCGGAGGTTCATGGGTACTTATACAAAAAAGGTAAAAAGGGGTGATTAGGGTTCCTTGAAGGGTTCTATAGGGTTTACAGTAGTTATAAGTAGGATAATAGGGAGGGTAACTATACCTAGAACCCATATTAGGGGACTTAGAACCCCACTTATAACTACCCCTGAACCTCCAAGTAGGGTTTCTTTAAGGGTTCCTTCAAGGGTGTAGGCCGGCTTTTTAGGTTCTTCAGGGTTTAGGTTTAGGGCTACGTTTTAGGGTTTCAGGGTTTTGGGTTTAAAGTAAAAGCCAGAAAGTTGGAGTATGATTATCCTAAACCCTTTATGGTAAATTATAAGGTATCCTACCCCAAAACCATAAGTTCCCTTTAGGGGTTTCTCAGGGCTCCTTTAAGGGTTGATAGGGTTTAGGGTTTGAGCGTTCTTCAGCGTGTAGGGTTTAGGGTTAGGGCTTGGGCTTCCTCAAGGCTCCTGAAATTGGGGTTACTATAGGGCTTAGTAGCTTAGGGTTTAGGGTCCGTAAGGGCGCCCTTTAAAGTTGCGAATACAAAGGCCTTAATGATTAGAATGGGGTTTGGGGCCCATCATACTATAATATAATAAGGAACCACGAAAAAAAGCATGGGTAATTATGAAGTATTATGGCCCCCTATAGTATACCTGAAACAAGGCCCAAATGCTGCAACTCCCCCTGGAGCCATCGTTACTTACTTCAGAAATTCATGTGGGGTGGGTGGGTTACGGGTGTCTCTGGTATGAGGTACGAAGATAAGGGCAAGGCATTGCACGACATACCGCGCTCGCATAGTTGAGTGCGTGGCAACTTAGGCTCCTTAGCAAGAACCCCCAAAACCCTGCCAGACCCTACCCAGAGGCCCCAAAGTAGTTCCTTTTGGGGGTTCGTATAGGTAATCCCAAAAAGGAACTACTTTGGGGCCTCTGGGTATAAAGCAGAGTCAGCCTAGTACCCAAACGCCTGCCAGAAGACCCTCCAGGCCCTGAAAACTTGCAGGCAACCTTCTGTATGTCTCTCTGAGAGCACCGATCCGAAACCCGAAAATCTCCGAAAGAGAAGACCTGCAAGCACCATCAATACTAGGGTCTAGGGAAAGGTTTAGTGATTCAGAAACCCTTTGAACCAATTTTACACAAAGCCAGCTCTCTGAGAATTCCGCCCAGTAGAGTTCATGAGGCAAGCCGTCTCCTCATTCTCGCCGATGCTCGTCGCGAGGCGGAGCCTTGGAATCTTGGTGCTCTGCAACAGCTGCGGGGACCTATGCTCATGTAAGTATACTTCTGTGTATGTTCAGACCGTGCTTGCATTTCTGAATTTATTGTCTCTCTTTTGCTAATGACTGCTTCTTATTTCTATGTTCTTGTGTTTAGTCCAACTGTCAAATTCTTTATATTCACAGACTTTTGTGCTAGGTACTTGCGCGCGCATGGTAGGAGTGAAAAACGA